GGGGGGGGGTACCTCCATCGGGGGGCGCGGCCCCCGCCTCGCGGGCACCCCCGTTGCCCTCGGCCTTGCTCTTGCTGGAGGAGCCCTTGGCCCCGAAGAGCCCGCTGGGCTGGTTCACGATGCGCGACAGCGTCTCCAGCGGCTTCAGCGCCGCGTTCACCGTGTTGGCCATGTTGGGGCTGGGGGGGCAGCGCTGGCACCCTCAACTGGCACGGACCTCCAGCCCAGCAGGGACCCCCCCAAAACCCAGCAGGGACCCCAAAATCCAGAAGGGACCCTCAACCCAACAGGGACCCCTCCCCAAACCCCAAACCCAGCAGGGACTTAAAAAACCCAATGGGGATCCCCAAACCCACCAAGGAACCCAATCTTAACCCAACACGGATCTCGAAACCCAGCAGGGACCCAAAACCCAATGAGGACCCCCAAAATCCAGCAGGACCCCCCCCAAAACCAGCAGGCACCCCTAAACCCAGCACAGATCCCAAATCCACCACGGCCCTCCTCAAGACAACCCAAAACCCCAACAAAGCTCCCCCAAAACCCCTCAAGATCCCAATGAAGCTCCCCTGAAGACCTCTGAAAACCTCTCAAGACCTCTGAAAACCCTTCAAGACCCCACCAAATCCCTGAGCACGCCCCCCAAATGCCCCTCACCTGGACAGGTCGAGGCTGTGGGGCACGCGGGCCAGGTCGTTGACCAGCCCCTTCTTGAGGAACAGGCGGATGATGTTGTTCATGCCGTTGTGGGGCGGCTTGGCCGTGCTGCTGTAGAAGCTCGAGGTGGACGGACACGACTCCATGATGGTGCTGATGATGCACATGACGGCCTGGAGCCTGCAGGGACAGCGCAGCGGTCACTCGGGGGGACAGCGGTCATTCCAGGGGACACCGGTCACTCCAGGGGGACAGGGGATGCTCTGGGGGACACCGGTCACTCCAGGGGGACAGCAGTCATTCCAGGGGGACAGGGGACACTCTGGATTGACAGGGGACACTCTGGAGAACACCAGTCACTCCACGGGGACACTGGTCATTCCGGGTGGACACCAACACCATTCACTCCAGGGGGACAAGGGACATCGGTCATGTTGTGGGGGAGAGAGGATGAGACATTGGTCACCTCGAGGCTGTCTATGCAGCGGCTCTACATTGTCCCCACACCATCCCCATGCTGTCCCCACGCTTCCTCCATGTCGTCCCCAGCTGTCCCCACATTGTCCCCACGCTGTCCCCAGCTGTCCCCACACCTGGCGTGTTTCTCGGTGCTCTCGGCCATGGCCAGGGCGCGGCCGAGGGCGGCCTTGACCTCGTTGACCAGGGCCACCTGGGCATCGGTGCCGCTGCCAGCCGCGGCCAGGCTGGCCAGGAAGAGCCGTGCCAGCGCCGGCGTGTCCTTGTCCTCGGCGTTCTGCTGGTGGGGCAGCAGGTGGTCCAGGACAAAGGCCAGCACGCTGCAGTCCTGGGGGGACACAGGGGTCACTCACACACCCTGACCCACACGGCCAGGAGACAGAGAGGACCTGGGGGACCTTAAAGGTAAGGGGACAAGGGACCCTCGAGCACAGGGGACAGGACTGAGGTGTTTGGGGGATACGGGACCTGCTCAATGAGGTGACAGGGGACCCCAAGTTATGGGGACAAGGGACCCTTGAGCACAGGGGACAGGACTGAGGTGTCTGGAGGGACAGGAACAGGGGACCCTAAAAATCAAGGTGACAAGGCACCCTTCTACAAGGGGTGACAAGTGACGCCCCTCCCTGAGGTGACAGCAGACCCCAAAGCATAGTGGGGTGACAGAACCCCACCACGCACACTCTGATAGGGACACAGCTCACTGGTGGCAGCGGCCACCCTTGTCCCTGTCCCTCCTGGTGGCTGAGTCCCTGTGGTGTCACCTCCTTGATGAGTTGGTGGGACTGCCCCTCCTGGCACATCCCGACAGGGACACAGCTGCCCTGTCCCTGTCCCTCTGGTGGCCATGTCCCCACGGTGTCACCTCCCTGATGAATTGGACTGGCCCTCCTGGCATACACTGTCAGACACACGGCTGTCCCTGTCCCCAGTCCCCTCTGGTGGCCTGTCCCCGCGGTGTCACCTCCTTGATGAGCTCGGACTGGCCCTCCCAGCACACCCGGATAGACACACGGCTGTCCTGTCCCTGTCCCCTGCCCCTCTGGTGGCCTGTCCCCGCGGTGTCACCTCCTTGATGAGCTCGGACTGGCCCACGCTGTAGCTGTAGTTGGCGATCAGGGCGGCGATGCCCACGTAGGAGCGCACCAGCTCAGCCAGCAGCCGCAGGATGGTCGAGGTGGGCATCAGGGGCTTGGAGCCCCGTGCCCGGCCCCGCTCCTCCCCACGCTCCCCTTCCTTCTCCTTGCGGCCCTCGCGGCCCTCCTCGGGGCTGGATGCTGTGGGGACACGGGGACAGCGTCAGGGGACGTGGGGACAGTGTCAGGGGACACAGGGACAGCATCAGGGGACATGGGGACAGCGTCAGGGGACACAGGGACAGCATTAGGAGACACAGGGCAGCACCATTAGGGGCTCAGGGACCCTGGGGACATGGAGGGGACAGTGGGGGCTCAGGGACAGGAGGGGCTCAGGGACATGGAGGGGACACTGAGGCCTCAGGGACTGGAGGGGCTTGGGGACCTCAGAGACAGGAGGGGCTCGGGGACCTTGGGGACACAGAGGGGACATCAGGATGTGTGGGGGTACAAAGATGTTGAGGGGGCTGGCGAGTATCGGGGTCACAGGGACATGGTGGGGACATCAGGGACAAGCAGGGGACACCAGGGGACTCAGGGGATCAGTGACACCTTCTCCCTGGGGGGTTCCCGAGGGCGGCGTCTCGGCCGCGGCTCCGTCAGCAGCAAAAACCTGGGCCTGGGGGAGCAGGGGGGGGGTCAGAGCCTGGGGGGCCCCCAAAACCCCACAGACCCCTAATGACACCCCCAGAGCCCCCCATGGCAACCCCAGAGCCCCCTGTTACCCCCTCCCTCAAACATCAGTGACCCAGGGAATGCTGGGTGCTCCAAATCCCCCCAAACTGACTCCCAGACCCCCAAAACCACCTCCAGCCCCCCACAAACCACACCTCAGACCCCTCAGCCCCCCCCAAACCACACCCAACCACCTCAAACTGACCCCAGCCCCCCCAAACCACCCCTCAGCTCCCCCAAATCCCCTCTTGGCGGCAACGGCA